CTTCCATCTGTCTGTATTTCACTTTCAGCTGGTGCCATACTGGGAGAGGACCTTCCATATCGACCTTTCTTCTCCTCAGATTGGTGTGGTTGATGTCGAGGACGTAAGCAACCTTAATCGTCCCTTGCAAAAACTTAAAGTGAAAAAATTATATCAACTCATTTGAAGTGTCTGTATTTCAAGTTTTCTCAAAGCCAATACATTGATCCCGATTCCGTGGGGGTGTGTTACCTTTAAGAGGTAACTGACTTTGATTGAAAAAACTAGCAAAGTTCTGCTTCTTCAACATACTATAGAAATACAGAAAAACTTCATCATCGTCATCACTCAAATTGTAGTAGATACACTCTAACTTGACCGTAAGACACCAGTTATTGTTTTACCTCACATTTTGGGTTCAAGATGTTTTTGAAATGTCAGAGTCTGGGCACTGAAAATCATTATGTCATCTTGTAAATACACGTGTCCATCCTTGGCAGGCTGACAGCGTGTGGATGGAAATGGATGATGAAGATGACATGCCCTCAGCTGACGAGCTCGAGCAGTGGATTGAGGATGTTCTGTCTGGGAAGATCGACCCAGATGACGATGATGATGATGATGATGATGATGATGACGATGATGACGATGACGACGATGACGACGATGACGACGACGATGACGACGATGATGACGACGATGATGATGATGATGATGACGATGATGATGATGATGACGATGATGACGATGATGACGACGACGACGATGATGATGACGATGACGACGATGACGATGATGACGACGACGACGATGATGACGATGATGATGAATAAATATTCACTACTTCACTATGATCTAGTCAGTTACGGCAAAACCCAAGAGTCGCACCATTTTTTCTAACATGTTGCAGCAAACACACTTTGTGTCTGTTTGCTTCCTGTACGGTTTCCTGTAAGGGACAAATATAATGACCCTATGGGAAACTTTCACTCAGTCAGGGAAGGAGATTTTTCAAAGAAGCAAAGGATTGGCATCCCTGTTGATGAACAGGGTTACAGCTTAAAACGTTTGTGCATTATATGTCCTTTGTTACGGTATTAAAATATGCCTAATCTCACACCTCGGTGGTCCACAGTGAATGTGAGCAGAGGCTAACAGAGGCTAACTTCCTTGACATTTTCTACCTAATGTCACAGACTGGGGTTCACCCCTTTCTCATTTTCTCCAATTTACTGTAATCCTGTTTCAATGACATGTTTTCTACTTGATGCAGAGAAGAAACACTTTCTTGTACTATTTTTAAAGAGAATAAACCTAAACTCACTGGACAGTCTTAAGATTATTACAATCTTGGAAAACTATTAAAGAACCAGATAATAAAAGAAAATACTGAATAATTTGTTTCTGCTCTCATATTAAAAATGAAAGACAAAAATATTTTAAAACCAAAGCTGTTTGTTGTTGTTGTTATTGCCATATGAAATAGACTACTATTTGTATGTCTGTGTGTGTGTGTGTGTGTGTGTGTGTGTGTGTGTGTGTGTGTGTGTGTGGTGTAGGGGTGATTTCAGGTCTGTGGGCAATGTAAAAGGGCTTTGTTTAAGCATATTTGTATTATTCAATTACTAAATGTAATTATTAAATATAAAATGTCATAATAATTCTAACTGGCGAAGCAAATATAATAAGCATAATATATTCTCACCCAGCACTCAGCACTTTATTCTCACTTTCTTCTCTTAAGTCTTGATATGACAGCTATGTTGCATATGTGAAGGAATTTCCAATGCAGGCACAATTAAATTAAAGAGGAAATTTTACATGGCTAAGTCGTATTGGAACTGTACAAGTGAATGTCTAATAATAATAAATCAAATCATTTCAAATGTAGTACTGTATTGTGATGTGATGAGGAAGTAGTGTACATCACTTTAATGTGCACCTGGTAAAGATGGAGCTAATTTAATTACTAAATATTCTGCTGTGTAGCTTAATCTATAACAATATATCATCATTTATCATTGATTTATATTTTGTATTAAGTAGCTAGCAACTAAATAGATCAAATAGATGTAAATAAAAGGTAATTAATTAATTAAAACACAATTAAACATTCAGAAAATGAAAGATGCCACTAACATATGAGAATAAATGTGAACAAGGAACCTCACATTTGCCTTTATTGGGAACTTGCAAGAAGCCATTTTGCTTCAATTACTGAATTTATGGGCTGATTGTGCTTGCATACATTAAGTCATGCTCAGAAGGTTACATACAATGTGTTTTGAAAGTAAACTCTTTGTTTCCAGGAAAACTATGTGACTTTATATCAGGCTAAGTAAATAATGTTTAAAATGTCAAAATCTTCAAAATCCTCTGCCTCTTACTGCCAAAAAACACACCAAACTTGTTTGCAAAGTCAGCCAGTAACACAAGGCAATCACTGATGAACCCAGATAAAAGCTTTCCATTTGTCTGCTTGTGTTTTTCTGCTGTGTCTTGAATTTAGCCTTTAGCTTGGTAATGTGTCACAAAATATTTCTTTATGGATCTGCCCCGACTCCTCAGAAAGAGTTTGTTGCCATGAAAAGAAAAACAGGGAGCTATAGAAACTATGCTGAAAGACACTAAAACCAGGCAGCTCAACAGCAAAAGGTATATTGACTGATTTAATACATGTTTTGTTCTTTTAAGTGTGCAAGTATGAAGATAATACTGATTATAACCATTGGACCCATCAACATAGACACAACTTTGATCCACTAAACAGCACAAACCTCGGCAGTCCATTTACAGGTATAACATCACATAAAACTCACACACCTACAGGTTTAGATTGGGCTTGAGAATGATGGTACCTGTCCATTATCAAAGTTGTGAAGAACAGAATGAAAGCACTAGCACCAATAATACTCTCAACTAATATATATTGATCTGAAATGGTCTCAACAATAAGCAGCCAAGCATTCAAAACTAGATAAACATTGTGTAACACTAAAGTTAATAAATCTAGACTGTATGACTCATTTTTCACCCAAAAAACAAAGTGAAATATCAAATAAATAAATGCATCACTACTAAAATAGATAAAAATCTATAAATATACATTTTCTTGGATGAATTTGATCTGCTCGAAACATTTAAGGCCAATCATTTTTGTTAAACATTCACTGTTATTTCCAAAGGTATCGTCACCGCCTTACTTTAGCATCTTCTATCATGCTGAACCAGCTGATGGCCCTGACCCATAACCACAGTTTAAACTTTAACACAGCTGATACTGGATGAAATGCAGTGTTTGTGCTGCGTGTATGAGCTCACGGCTTGGGGATATAACCACTATATACTTTCAGTGGTTTTCTGGTCACTCAAATGTCAACATTGAATGACTTAATTTCCTCCTATGATGGGCTACAGAATCAATATTTAGGTAAATACACCACTTATGTCTGACTGAAGCTTTATCCAAAAGGTTAAATGATAAATTTTTAGCTTACTGAATAATATTAAAAAGAAAAAAGAAAGCTGTTTGTTTCCAATATTGTATACTCAGAAATAAATTGTGTGACAAGAGTTTAACACATCTTGTTTACCTTTTTAATTTACTGCAGATTTTAAAATTGTCATTTGATACATTGTTTCTATAAAAACATGTCTTTACTCTCTGTAAAGTTTCCTTTTGGACAGAAGAGTAGGGCCTGCTAAAAAGAGGTTGAGGCCACAAGGTTTCTTTTTCCAGCTCACATCATTCAGCTCCTAATTGATCTCTTTTTCTCTATATGCTGTGCCATATTGTTTTTCATCCAATCATCCAGTGCATTAACACACAGAGAAGAAATAAAATTAAAAATGTCATCAAAGTAAGGCGCTCACAGTGAGGCCAGGTGGGGTTCACATACCCTGTAACTACATTCCTCCTCTGTTTAGACACCTCATCACACCTCCAGCCCTTATGGAAAGATAACACATCTAAAACCAGTCCGTCCACTGTACACATGTTGACAAAACTCAGTCATCTGACTCATGGTAAGACAAAACGAGCCAGAATGTCTACTGTTCTTGTTTAATTTCATCTTTGTTTATCAGATGGTGTTGGATGAGTATACACACTCATCTTCATTGACGCCCTGAATCAATATTAACACATATGCACACTTGAGCACTGCCCGTGAGTCTGAAAAAAATAATCTTACTAAATACAATGGCCTATAACACGCCACAGAGGCGTGTAAATATGTGATTGAGTGTTTGCTTAGTATGCTGTAGCATTGAATTGAACAATTTACAATGAAGATCCCTAAATGCATGAGCACTCTTTATTACCGTACAAACACACACAGAAAAGACACATTTACATGTAACTTTATTCTGATGAAATGTTCATATGCACAGTAAATATTGCTGTGAAATCACATAAAAAAGTCAACTTACATTCAGAGCAATGAGCTGTGTTATGCATAACTGCTTGCTTGAAACAATTAATTTAATGAACAGACCTTTGTCGCAGTTCTAGTATGTATGTATGCCTGTATCTTGTACCTCTACAGCAGTAGTCACACACCACCAATATGTCACTGGTGGAACTGAATCATATTTTATGGAGAAAATGTTTTTCAGCTGCTTTTATGTTTGACTCCTCTTGTGAATTAAACTGTTGTGGAGGCTCATGGTCTTACAACTTTTTGGAAAAGACACACATTCTTTTAGTTTGCCATTCTTAATAAGGTAACTATGTTCTTAGTTATGTCAATAAACTTGTAAAGCCTCTTCTGTGTGTAATTCTTATACTTCTGTTCCTGAAGGAACTCGATGTGTGGGAAATTACTGAATATTATATTGCTTCACTAGACTCAGCAAACTCTATCACTAGACAAATACAGAAATTATGTTTGGTTATTGCCATCATGTACATTCCTCTTGGCATTTTGTGTGTGCATTGTCAGCATGCGTATCCTCAGTTCCTGGTTCTGGGATGGCAGGATGGCACAATCAACTGTATATAAGAGCCAGACTTTCACTGAGAAGGAAGAACAGTAGGTAATTCTGCAACAGGTTTGAGATCAATACTTAATATTTTCTGTCCTTTCTTTAATGGGTTTACAGTCACTAAGAGTCATAGTTTCTCCCAATACAAGTCTTATTAATATATGTTTCTTTTTATTGAAGGTCATCATCTTTGACATCTGCATCAACTTCACCATGAAGATGCTAGCTGTGTCTGTACTTGTTGTTGCCATGATGGCTCTGACTCGTGGTGATGGTGAGTGTGAGTGTTTAGGCAGTGTTTGTATGAGTACTCTGAATATCTGGGGCTCAGTAGCTCAGTTTGTGGGGACTTGGCTTGGGCGCTGGTTAAAGTCCAGCACAGACCATAGTATGGAGTGTGGAGTGTGGAGAGGTGACAGTTTCACCTCCCATGCACTGCCGAGGTGCCCTTGAGAAAGGCACCCAACCCCTAACTGCTCCTGGGGTGCTGCTAATGTGGCAGCCCATCACTCCACTATCTGTCTTTCTACATTTGCATGTCCATCAGCCCTGCGTGTGCATGATTGTATGTTAAGGTCTGTGTGTGATTGTAAAATAAAAAACATTTCAAAGAATTTCTCCAATAGCGGATTAATAAAGTAAATCTTCTTATTGTGTTTAAGAGAGAAATAGATAGACAGAGATATAGAGTCTAGTTTTTTCAGCAAAAGTCACTTACTGTTGTATCAAACTGTCTATCTCTTCCAAAAGCAGAAGGCGGTCCTGAGACAGAATCAAAAATTCAAGAAAGTTTTTTTTTTCTTTACATTTTCGACAAAAAGAGATTCATAAAAAGTGGATGATTTTAAATGTGTATGAAAAAGTGGAAACAAAACCCATATAGAATTTTGTAGTGTACTTCTTTATTGTGTATGATTGAAAAGCAGAGCATATTGTTTAAATAGTCCTGGATATTTAAAAGAAGATTACCTAACTTAACTTGAAGAACCCATTATTGATAGTGTCCAATGTATAATGTAAATACATCTGGGCATTTTTGGAAATGTTTGATAAATACAGCTGCTTGCTAGGGATCATATCAGTCAGAGTTTAGGTGACCGAATGACAATGAATCAACTTGGAAGATTAATTTTACCATTGTATTGTCTATGCTGCTATACTGCAGCCTGATTTTGGCCCAGGATGATGTTAATGTTCCAGAAACAGAAAGAACTAGTGAAACACAATCATGCTTTTCAGACTCGTGTGATTTCCTGAAAGAGTTTGGTGCCATGAAAGAAAAACAGAAAGTTATAGAAACCAGACTGACGGACAGTGAATCCAGACTGAAGGACAGTGAAACCAGGCTGAAGGATGGTGAAATCAGACTGAAGGAGAGTGAAAACCAGATTCTTGAACTGAAGAAAAAAGGTAAAGTGAAACTTTTGCCCTGATTATTTTTAAGACTTCAGTGGAGAATTCTTTTGGGTATCAGAATAAACACAGTATAACAGTGTAGAAATACATTTAAAAAATAATGTGATCACAATGTTTTGCCTTACACAGAAAAAAACATGGTAGTGTTCAGTGCAGCAGCAGAAGGGAGTGGACACATTGGACCCTTCAATACAGATACAACTTTAGTCTTCAAAGCAGTGAAAACTAACATTGGCAATGCCTACAGTCCATCCACTGGTGAGTATATCATGTACTTTAATTTTTTTATTTCAAACATGTATTGTGTTGATTCTATGATAAGAAAGATGTGATTACTGCATTATGTAAATAGAGAGAGCACTTTAAGTGTATACCACCAAGGTCCGAAAACACTCCCCAAAAAGGATTCAAGGACTTCCATTAAGCTGTGTCAGATGTTGGAATAAAATGCTGTTTCCACAGGTATCTTCGCTGCACCTGTTCCAGGAATTTACTACTTCACCTTCTTTTATCATGCCGCTGGATCACAGGAAGTTTTTCTAACCCTCATGAAGAACAACGAGGATGTTGTCAGGACCGCTGATCACAGAACATCACATGACGGGGCTGATAACGGTGGCAATGCAGTGTTCTTGCAGCTGAAGCAAGGGGACCAGGTGTATTTGCGCTTACGTGCAAATGCACATGTGTGGGGAATGCAGTACTTGACCACCTTCAGTGGTTTTCTGGTCAGTCAGGTTTGAACAGGGAATAAAGAAATGATTTATTTGTCATTACAGTTACAATTTCTAATTTCTTTTAACAGATCTGAAATTATTATTATTCACTTTTAATTGATTCCTATTATTACAGCTGCTTTAAGTGCCCTTTGTACAACTTGGATGTGTACAAGTAACTATTAAACAGATTACAGACTATGTTACAGTGTGTTATCTGGAAAGTTAGATCAGAATTAATAATATACTTGTACTTATACTTGTTAATTATCTACTATCCACTTATCTTGTTTTTCTCTTCAAAATCAATAAAGTCAAACTCTTTTGTTGCATCTTAAAAGCATTCTGAAACATGAGAATGTAAAAGTGGTGTATGTGGTTTGCTAATCTCCATAAAACTAATTCTCAATCCTTTTATTTGCATATTTTACAACATGAAGAGTTCAAAACTCTAGCTGGATAAATAGATCATAATAAAAATGGAACAAACAATTATCAATAAGTTAAAGTGAGAAGTGACCAATGATTCTGACCTCTGCATTACAGATTTCCAACAAACCTTAAAGGACACATTTTGTGTGTCTTGAGGCAATTGGTAGGGGAATAAACAGCACCCTCTGCTGTGCCAAGCCTGTAATAACATAAAATGTGTAATACACATGTGTACCGAGTTGGTCCGGATTCTGGGATATGTTTTCATTCTAATCGCACGTGACCAGTTTTAGCACAAACCGCTAATTAGCTTATAACGCTAGTCAATGGAGCACAGAGTAACTTGAAAAGAAAGCTGTTTTTATACCACTAACAAGACTCAAAATAGCACCACACTTACACGGTAGCATAATGAGGGCCCCTACTTGTAAACCGAAGCATTGAGAACTTTGTAAGTCTACAGACAGTTTAGTAAAAAGATAGTTTAGAACAACAGTAGTGTTCACGTATACAGGCGGGCGCCATCTTGGGAAAACAGTCACGCGACCAGTCGAATTTGCTCAATATATCAGAAATAATCGCACCGATGTAAAACATAACTCGTCTAGTGTACTTACTCAGTGGATAACTGTCCATCTGGTCCCTCCGGTATGGGTCGCCGCCTCCAATTTATTTTCGGGACATGGAAAAAAGTTTCGAGCACAGCTCTGTTTGTCAGAGAGGGGAAATCTTCACACTGTACAAAACACTGCGTCTCTTGGGTGTCGCGACACAACAGGTCCCACGCAACACAGGCACTCCTCTTCGATGGCCATAGCTTCACAATGTCCGCAGGTACACCACCAGTTTCCCGAAGTACAAGGCTGTGTTGCGGCATTGACTACCGGTAGCTCTCTCTCTCTCGTAGCCCTTTCATGGAGCTCCTGCAGCTCTTCGTCTGTATAATCCGGCTCGAAAAGATAAGGACGTCCATCAAACTGAAAGGGTTCGTTGTCGATGTCTTCAAATTCGGTTGAATAATCCGCCATCTCTTCAGTGTGTATCCTGTGGAAGCACTAGTAGACTGGTAGTCTCTGTTGCGCTCAGTGCTTTCTTTCGGCAACAACGTGAGTTCACGTGAGATGGTGCGTTCAAGTCACATCTCAGAGAGTTGGACTGGTCACGACTGTTTTCCCAAGATGGCGCCCGCCTGCGTGAACGCTACTGTTGTTCTAAACAAACTGTCTGTACACTTACAAAGTTATCAATGCTTCAGTTTACAGGTAGGGGCCCTCATTATGCTACCGTGTAAGTGTGGTGCTATTTTGAGCCTTGTTAGTGGTATAGAAATAGCTTTCTTTTCAATTTAGTCGGTGCCCCGTTGACTAGCGTTATACGGTAAATAGCGGTTTGTGCTAAAACTGGTCACGTGCGATTAGAATGAAAACATATCCCAGTACTCGGTACACATGTGTTATTAACCCCAGGTTCATTTTGCGCCGGAATTGTCCTTTAACCTGCTGCTATGAACTAACACAGAGCACCAGCAACCTGCGAACCAGCTTGTTCGTCTTGCTCGCAACGATCTTTAACTTATTCAACCATAGTGACACTGCAGTCGTTACAAACTCATGCAGCCTTCCAAGAATATGGTGATATACAGTTGCCCAAGTCCGCCATCTATCTCCCTTCAGGTTTTTACTAAAGAGCATTACACTTGTTATGTTGTCTACTTGTTTGACACATGAATATCATCTACAGAAAGAGAAAAACCCTATTAATTTGTCTAGATACTAAATAATCTGACAGCCAAAGTCAATAACTGCTACTGTATGACAAACGGTTCAACTCTTCCAGATTCAGGGAGTGGATATGGGACAGATGCACCTACAAATGGTCAGTAGATGTGTTTTTTTCAGAATATCACTAGATTAGATTAGATTCAACTTCATTGTCATTGCACAAAGTACAAGTACTAAGACAACGCAATGCAGTTAACATTAACATTACCCTCACTTTTTTATTTGCCTTCAGGAAACCATCATGGTCCCAGTAATCCGCGTACATGTCATGACTTCTGTATTCACAACTTACTTACATTCGAAACTTGGGAAGAGGTGGAGGTAATCCTGATGATTTGAGTGCAGAACGTTTCTTTAGTCATTTTGTTTATTTTGCTTGTATTGACTCACACTCTTTGTATCCATAATTTGCATTGTCTCCTGAATCCTGGCAGTCACTCTGTCTCTCTGTCTATACCCACTGTATAAATGCTGTGAGGCCTTTCAGCCATATCCAGCCTCTGTGCAGGGTATGTCCTTCGAACAGAGTAGGGCTGTGGTACAGAGTGGCTCCAATGAGATAAGAACAACTCATGGATACGAACAAAAGTAAGACAAAATGTGTTTGTTTGTTGTTTGTTCTTTCATGAGGCCCATTAATGTCTCATTACTGTGTCAGGCTTTGGTTTTGCTAAGTCCTCTATCTTTGGTTCTCACAGGTAAAACATACTGGGATTCATTAGACAGTTACAGATATGTTTGTACCATGACATTCTGCTGATTCCTGGACAAACACAGAGGCATGAAGGATCTGTCAAAAGCACAGACGGTGGAGGATGTTTGTTTGTGTCTACTGTGTGTATATGCACTCATCTGTCTTTGTGTCTCATACGTAACCTGAAGGCTCTATATCTCACATCAAATCTTAATTTCTTTGCTATCGCTGTAATGCTACTTAAGGAAAGAAGAGACAAGCAACATAAACAGGAGCTGCTTCTTAAGCTTTGTGCTGTTGATAGCAGATTGAATGGTTATGAAAAGAATGGCTTTTGCACAACTTTATTCTGCAGTCTTTTTTCCATCATGCATAATTGATAATTAAAAGGCTCAAGCATTGAAACACACTTGTTCGTGAGTTTTTGTACCAGATATATCCTGTATCGCAAAGAGCTCCATAGCAACATTCCTGTAAATAATAGTGAACGCTACAATTCTTGGGAATACCTTGTGGTAACCTTGAAAGAATTTAAGTACACAATTTGCAATATGTTTTCGAACTCTGACTTTGATGTTACACAGATTTCAGTTCAATATGTTCAGTATAGAAAGAAAAGGAAATATGAATGATACTATAGATCACCCAATCTTGTAATGAACCAGTCCTGGACCAGAGCAGTGCAGTCGAAACTACAGTAACATTATCCCAGATGGTCTCCTTCTTTATTCTTTCTTCTCCTCAAAACCAATACAACAAACCTCTTTTGGGGGTTTTGTATTAAATCCTAAAACATAAGAATGTAAAAATGGTGTACATGCTGTGTGCTTTGCTATTTTTCCTTGAAACTGATTCTCGATCCTTTTATTTGCACCTTTTACATTATAGATTATTAAAGCATAGAAATGGAACAAACTATAAGTTAGAGTGAGAAGTGAATGAATTTTGAATGTGTGTTTCCACTAATGATTCTGACCTCTGCATTACAGATTTCCAACAAACCTTAAACGACACATTTTGTGTGTCTTGAGGCAACTGGTAGGGTATTGAACAGCACCCTCTGCTGTGCCAAGCCTGTGCAGTGAATCACTTCAATGTACATATTGGATTTAAAACATAAATGGAAACATAAAAGCAGAAACACAAAACACCCAATGAAAATTAAAAAGAACAGATACATATAGGGTGACAGGGTGTGGTTGTAATACTTTCCTGCTCTTCCATATGCAGGTGGCACTCCTGAGACAGAATCAAAATTCTAAGAACGTTGTGAGTGGATGTTTCTTCACATTTGTAAGATGATGAAAAATGCATGTCTGCACACACAGAACAGATACCACAAACATTTTGAAACAAAGACAAAAGAGACTCAAAAAAGTGGATGATTTTAAATGTGTATGAAAAAGTGAAAACCCATATAGGATCAATTAAATTATATATATTAAGTGTGCTGCTTTATTGTGTAATGACTGAAAAGCAGATTCTAGGTTTATGTTCTGTAAATAATCCTGGAATTTGAAAACAAGATTACCTGATGCAGTAGTAGTAGTAGATGCAGTGACTTTCCTACATATCGGTGAAACGTGGCGCCGGGGCTGCTGTTTTTTTTATCCTGTACGGGGCGCTACACACACGACAAACGCGATTTTTGGTATGTGAGCTTCAGGCCCCACTCTACACGTGCCCTGTGAATTTCATATTCATAACTATTACGGTCTCCGCACAGTGATTTACCATGCCACCAGAGCAGAGAAATTGTGCACGATGCTTGGACCCAAGTTTGGTGTCAATCGGACATACCAATGTGGAGAAATGGTCCACTTCCTTTTTGACGAAAAATCTACAGGAAGTTGGAATTTTACAGCGTTCTTATTTTTTGAAATTTCAAAAATGTTCAAATTACTCTTTTTGCCAGGGTGGTCCCCAGGTTCTAGGTGAAAAATTTCATGCGGATTGGACAAAACGTGTGGGAGGAACACAAAAAAGTAGTTTAAGGACATTTCGTGCTCTAACGAAAAAAAATTATATGTGGAAGGCGGAAGTGGGCGGGGCTTATATGGGGAGATTCAGCTCCATTCACAACGCGTGGATACAAGGTTTATGAATGTGTGACAAACTATGCAGAAGTTATTAGCCTAAACTCACTTTTATGATAGTAGCGCCACCTAGTGGCCAACCCGAAAGCGACGCATAGAATATCCCCATTTTTACCAGGCCTGACAACTTTGCCAAATAAAATTGACTTTTCGTATATGTTCAGGGGGGCAAAAATGCAGTCGAAGGGGGCTAAAAATGAATAGGTAAGAAAATCGAGCAAAAACAATGGGGACCTCCAGCGGTCGCTGGCTCAGTCCCTAATAAAGTGTCCAATGTATAATGTAAATAAAATCTGAGCATTTTGTGTAAAACTTTGATAAATACAGCTGCTTGGTA